GCTGTTCACGAGTCTGGTGCAAAAAGTTATACTGCTAGATCTTCGCCTTTGAGCTTTTAAAAGTGATTATGTTTGCTTGAAACAAACAAGCAACCAAACAATTGTATTGACAAGGTGCCCTACATTTCACTCTCTGCAATGTACACGGAACATAATAATGCGTTGCTACTGCAAACCATTAAAGCGTAATGATATGAAAATGTTCACATGACTCCATACATCAGAGCAAATAACAACAATGAAGAGCAAGACAATGGGTTTGTGCAGTAGTACAGTGGTGACTGGAGTTTAGGAGGGTACGTAGCCGATAACCCTCTGGGGTTGATCTCTCTTTTAGTACACTTTCCTTTCCTTTTTATTTGCCATGCCTGAACACAGCCCCTCACATCTGCAAACGTATTGGAGCCGATGAAATATTCATAGATGGGTTATTAATTATTGAGAGCACTGCAGGCAGGTCTTTAATTTCCATCCTTGCCTTTTACTATTGGAAAAAATGGAAAAAAGCAGCTGTTAATTGGTGTGAAGGAATGATGCATCTGGGCCGTCACAATTTGTCAACACTTTGTGACCTCATTTCCGAACCTTCATCAGCTTCTCACGCATAAATATATTACCAATATCAATATGACAGCTCAAGGTTAACCTTTGCTGAACAACAAACTGTCTGACTAATGAAAATCCAGTATGGCTAATAAATGTCTGGTGATAGATGAAACTTAAAAGAGACTTAATGTGACGTGGAGTGTTCCGAAAACCTGTTTGATTAAGTTTGATACCGCTAATGGCACAGGAATAAGACACTTCATGACTTAAAGCGTAACTTTACCGATTTTCAATCTGATTGGTTGATTGGAAAGTTGATCCAGAATCAACAAAGATGTTGAGGAACATGTGGTACTTGGTTAAATCACGTTCACCCTGACGGCAAAGTTTTATTGAAAATTTTGCCAGCAGTGAACCTTTAACACACGTATAACAGTCAGAACTGGATGTCTAGGTTGACATGAGCCAGTGTCAACACATTTCATCATTGCAACATCCAAAGCTGTGAAGAGAGCCAAATAAAATTTTAAAAAGTGTGCAGTGGAGTTAGTGCATCGCTTAAATTAAATGAGATGCATGCTGAATCAAAGAAAAGCCAGCGTAAGCATTTTTGCAAGTGAAAAACACTTAAAATTCAAAGCTTTCTTTTTTTTTTTGATGCCAATAAATCCAATTGTGGGGCCCACTAAGTTATTTGCCCTATCACTGGGCTTCTGGGGTGAGCATTAAATGTAAAGGCCCAGAACATACACCCACCATACAGCAGATAACTGTCCATTAATACACTTATTGGTGTATAAAAAAAGACTGTGAGAACTGTTGCTGGGAGAGTGGGCTGAGTGAATAAAATAGACTTATGAGTCACTGTTTAAATGTTTCCAATGAAACACTACAGAGTAAAGTTAAGATTTGGCAATATTCAAGGCTGTAAAACTAACATGAGCAATCTGTGGAGTCAGAGAGTCAGCGTTTACTAAACAGAGTTGTGCGCTATTCTGGATTGGACTGAGAAGTCCAATTCAAATCCAGAATTTTGTCAATTTGAATTTATGGATGTAGAATTAAAATAGAATGAAATTCAAAGGAGTGCATATAAGCTAGTTATAGTTTAATACAATTCTTTTTTTAGTAGGATCTTATACCGTATCCATACAACATCCACACAACATAAGATAATAGTAACTAATAATCAATGTTTCGAAATTCCAAAAATATATTTCATTTAAAAATATTTGAAAATCCTTTATTTTATCCCACAGTTTATTTATTTATTTATTTATTGTTATCTGAAAGCAATGTGGCGAATCTATGGTGTTGTCGAATAATTTGAATATAAGGGTTATAAGGAGTTTAATAAAAAAAAAAAATCTATAATTTTTGGAGTAATGAAGTTTTGTGTGGTTGTGTGAAATGTTATTTTGATCCTATTAAAGTTCTTCTGAGCCATTCTAATTCCACTTCTGTGGTCTGCCTTATTTAGATTCTTACTCATCAACTGAAAACTGGTATTAAAAGGGATTCTCACTGTTCTCTTTTCTCTTCCCTTGATTCAACATTGCCCTGTGAAGGCGAGAATCATTTCTGATTAAGAAGATAAGGATAAGAAGTGGACAGGACAAGAGAGACGGAGTGAAAGTGAGCGAGACAGATAAGCCTAAACATTGACAGAGACATGAAGAGAGATGGAGCTGAAGGTATCTCTCAGGGGACAGGACAGGAGGACTCGTCTAAGAGTTATTTCATGTTCTGATGCATTTCTCCACCCACAGCCCCGCTGGCTCTCAATAACCTCTCCAAACTAATGCAACAGTGCCTCAGTACAGCCCAAACTCTTCAGTGCATTATGCAAAGCACCGGCAGCAACCCTTTCAGCACTCAGGCTGGAGAGACGCATCCCACATCCAGCATGGTCCGGAGGTGGGACACTTCATCACACACAAAACTCACAACCACCGCTCGCTCACACAGAGATCGGCATTAGCATTTGATAATGCCAGAGAAACACCTCCACTAGAGAACTGTTCGACAAAAGCTTTCCAAGCTCCCATAAAAGGAAATATTTTATTTTATTTAAATTATGTATATTTCATTTTTTTTTAATAAAATGTATAGATGTACAGGGCTTGACATTAACACCCGACCCGCCAAATGTGGGTGTATTTCAGCAGTGCTGTGTATTGCAGTTATTCCACTTTGCAGGGTGGAAATTTATATAGGCTACAGTACTAGGAGACTGATCTCATGAAGTAGCTTGTGTATAACACGCCAATTCGTATTTCCATTTTTGGCGTGCTATCAAGACGCATAATCGCTTTTCAGCGTGTTTATGAACACCGTTGACCTAACGTTATTACTGTATAAATATATGACTTACCTCAACCCTGTCCCTAAACCTACCCGTCACTGAGGTTAATGGCATTTATGACTGTTCCCTTACCATCCTAGGAAAAAAAAGATCGCTCCCCAGATGTAGATGTTTCGCGCGGACATTTGACGGCGTGTACAGACACGCTGAATCACTCGGACGTTAATGGCGTAGACATACACGCATACACGCGGATAGCTCAAAATGCGTAGAGATAACACGCCACTTGACTCGAAAGTGGCGTGTATGTTTACGCAAAAGTCATGATGTCATGTTGGGTACTAGATACATTTTTCAATTGTAGTCTTTTAAAAAGGCATCTGAAATAATAAACTAATTGCAATGTAGTGTTGTCAAAAATCTAGATTATTTCGATATATCACCAACATTTCGATACCGAAATATTTGAAATGCTTCTAATACTAATTTTCCGCAGAATAGATAGCCGGGTTGATGTTGTTGGTGTTACAGGGCTTGAATTTCGGCATAGGATTGCGTATATTGTGCATAATTTTACTAATTCCCGCAGATTTTGTGCTTACACCTAAAGTGCACGCATACAAAGCCCCTCTCAGTACTAGATTGAGTTCTTGTTCACTGCTTATTGTGCCTAAACAGTCAAATACACACAACATGATGTCAAAATGCTGGTCCTGGCGAGTATTCATGTGAACACAGTCAGTTATGTTTTAAGTGAACGTAAACAGTTGAGAAAGAAAACGCATGTGTAACATTATAATGGATCTGTGTGTCAGGTCTTAAAGTAACAGAAGCCTAATTTACCTGCTTCCAAATTATGAGATTTATATACACGGCAGTTTTTCTCGATGTTAACAAAGTCAAATTTGTGGCTAATAACTGGAAAAAAGTTAATGTATAAGGACTAATTGACCCCTCAAAAAGCATTTCCAAACGGTAGAGCATAAAGTCACTAATAATATGTACGCCTTGAATGCAATGTAAGTTGCTTTAGAAAGTCTACCAAATGCCTAAATGTAGAATAAATAATAATAATAATAAAATAAAATGGATTCATGGGCAATTGTCTACCACTGTAGGCCGAAACTGTTGTCAATTTACTGAACAAAGATCCGGCAATAAAATCTCACTCTGTTTCTTTCATTAAAGCAATAAGAAACAGCTGGCAAAGCAGCCCAAGGAAATAAATCTGCACTTAGTAATCAAATGGAGTGTGAGATCACATGAACTGAGGATGTAGGCATCCATTACGACTGTTAAGGGTTCCTGTGCCGTCTCTGCTACGTTCACTCATATTCCCATGGGCCATTTTCTCCTGGTGTGTTACTTCAGAGGTCTTCTGCACGGTTTTATTTAGAGCAGCTATAATTAAACAGCGCTTTTTTGTTCAAACACAAGGCACTTAAACAAGAAAACATCACTGCCAAAACTATAACTTGTTTCTGCTTCTAAATCATATTATCTTAGATGTGCAGCCTGATATAAAATTATATAAAATACAACTGCACTTCTATAACGTCATGTTATCTCGTTCAATTTTTGATGAAACGACATTACCAATTAAAAATTATTTAAATAATAATATTATTATAAAGTACATAGACTTCAGTTTTGAGACCTCTAAACATATACACATGCACATAATACTTTAAATTACAGCAATATTGTACATGTTAGTCTAAAAAAATGCTACAGCAAGACCAATAATAATATGCAAACCGTTCCACAAAATTAGTAGTCTAGTTTTCTAAGTAATATTCACTTGTAATTATCACTGTAATTTAAAGTGTGACCCAATTGAAAAAAGACACAAACTAACAAATAAATAATACAAACAAACAAGACAATGTGCTTCTGAATAGCTCAGGCTCTTTGGATGCTTCTTACAGGGTCACTGAGAGCAGGTGAAGACGAGTTGACGATCACCTCCATTAAAAAATCAAGCGAATCCAAAATAAAGGCGCGAGCTCAGAAACTTCAGAAACTCTTAATATATACCGTACATTTAACTGCAGTTTTATTCCCTCTTAGAAGGGGCATCAGTTTGTGAGTTTGTAACTTCTGATCTGAAACCACAAACGCCAAAGAGATGCCTTAGAAACGCCCTTACCTCCAGCGATCGCAGGATAGATCCGATCCAGGGTCTCACTTTCACCTATAATTTCTCTATTATGTTGCAATTTGAGCAAATAACCGCGTCTACGGTTGGACAGTTGAATTGATTTTGCGTTTGCTTATTTGAACCTAAAAATGAAGTCCATCATCACCATCTCGGTCCGTTCGAAAGCTTGCCTGAAATTATTCTCGCATCACCAGCATCAGCATCGCTCCCTTATGCATCTTTTACAGTGTATTTGAAGCGCCCCTACACGCAGAGGCCACGCCCCCTCGCTGCTTCCCGTTACGCTGTCATTAACCAATGGGAACGTCAAGCCAGGTCGCTCCGCCAATGACACACGGGGGGCGGGACATCGGTGTATCTCATAGCAATGATGTAATGGTCGAGTTTTCGCTCTCCCTCAGGTTGAGCTCCTGCGGCAGCGTCAGGCATGAAGAATGAAGATGAAGAATAACCTCTGCCATCAGCGCTGAGCTCACACACTCTCGGGTTTCTGTTTAACACAAAAGCATGATGTCAGAGATAACTCGTAAACCTTTATCCTCTCGGGACAAGCAAACAAAAGGCATTCGTAGTGTTCAATAAAAAACTTAAGACATTTATTTTGAAGATTTATTACATCTTTGTGGGAAAATATTGCTATTTTCTTTGTGTAGAAAGATTTTTTTTTGTATGACTATAGCCTAATTGTTATTATATAGGCTTTTATTTTTCTATCCTGTTTTGTTTTCTTATTTTTCTATTTGTAGTAGCCTAATTTATTTATTTGTAAAGCTTTTACATTGATTTACTGCATATTGTGCTGTTTTTTTCTTTATTATATATTTTGTTTATTTTATTGTGACAACCAAGCAAACACATTTTTTGACAGCTGATTTTCTTGAGCTCTTGACTTGGCATCTGCTGTACATTTAAAAATATTTATTTGTTAATAAATATGCCATTGTGCTTACGTTGTTTGTTGGGGAGAGGGGGTTGATAAATTGATAAATTATTGTCAAATTGTACATTACTTTCACAGTAGACTCTGTCTACTGTAATATCACAGTAATTGCTTTGCCATTGAAGCTGTGAAGTTACAGTAGTTGTGCTTTTACAACAATGCATTGTAATATCACAGATATAAAATTACAGTAAATATCTGTGAGTATATTTCACAGTATATTACTGTAATCCTTACTGTGAAAGTCATGCAAAATTTATCCAATTATTTATTGTAATTTCACAAAGAAAAATTTTACAGTGTGGATATAGATTGTTTTTTTTTTTTACTTTGTAGTAACATTTATTGTATTGCTTTATAATATTTTGTTATGCTTTTTATAGGGCTGTCAAATGATTAATCGCAGTTAATCGCATCCAAAATAAAAGTTTATGTTTGCATAATATATGTGGGTGCACTGTGTATAATTATTTTTTTTATATATAAATACACACACATGCATGTATATTTAAGAAAAAAATATTATTTATATATAAAATATTTATATGTATATATAATATAAATTATATATAAATCTATATACAGTATATACATGAAAATATTTCTTAGCTATATGTGTGTGTATTTATAAAATAATTATTCACAGTGGACCCACGTACTGTATATTAAACACAAACTTTTATTTTGGATGCAATTAATCGCGATTAATTGTTTGACAGCCCTAGTTTTTTATAACTCTTCATGGGAAAAAATCTTTATGATAACTGCAGTTTCTGCCAGCAAGTTTCAAACATTGCCTGTGTTTTGACTGACAGATTCAGTTCCTCAGTTTTATTTTGTCATAATTAAAAGTGTATGTTCATATGATGAAACGCTCCTCTCTACAGCTCTTCAGCTGCTGATAGTTTGATCAAATATGCTGTTTTTGTCACTAAGATTGCATGGGAACTTTATAAGATTGTAAAATAAAAGACTAGAACCATCAACCTTTGTTCTAATGAAGATTTTGCATTACGAGGATGTACTCTGAGCATTTTATTTAACTCTAGATGTTCTTCCAGCTGTTTTGGGCTCATGAAAGCAGCTTGAAATACGCAACAAAAACCAAGGGTGACTAATAGCGTCGTCACCTATGGGGCTTTGCCTGGGGAAGATAATGTTTACAGCCTCATTACATAACAAGAAAAAGTCATCTTTCCTCTCTTCCTAAGAAACGATTGCTTGTAAAGCATACGGTAGCATGCAATGTCATTGTGGAGTCATTGGTCATATCATGAAGAAGGAATTTGTCTAAGTGTTTCAAAACAGAATGTCAAAAGAAAATCCTTTATGAACTGTCAAGCATAGACTGTAATTGTTATATTTCTTTCTGAAATGCGTCCTGGATGGAGCCACAGGTCAATGTGCTCTGCACCACAACTGGTTTGAGAACAGATTAAAAAGATGTTGAAAGATAATGAAACATTGGGGTTTTGATTTTTATGCTTGTTATCTTGCTGAGCTGATTGGCTCCATTTTGGTATCTCTTCACACCCACTAATGGAGAAAAAAAAATCTGTGACCTTCCTGTGATCATTACGGCCTTGGTTTTCTTTCTATTTTTAATCGGCATGCTTTTCACAGATCTTTACTGTCATATAATGTCAGTCTCTGAAAAGACATTTCACAAAACCAGAATGCTTCTGAAACCTTTAAATTTACATTTATGTTCTTTGCAGATGCTTTCTTCCAAAGCGACATTTGTGTTTGTACTCCCAGCTTAATAGGGAGCCAAGGTGCCAAATCGAGCCCTCAGACAAAACCTCAAAGTGCTAGGCAACAGAACACTTATTTATTTGCAGGTTTGCTGCATTTCAGCATCACATACTTTGATGTGCAAAAGATATAAAAATACACTCTTGAAACCTCTACATCAAAGGAATGTTCCAGGTTCAATACACGGGATGTAAGATCTATCGACAATATGGGACAAGCTGTCAATTGTCAGAGAAAATGAATCATAGTTTGAAAAATCAGAGGAAAAAATAGACAGTGATGCATGAAACGTGCAGCTCATATTTTTGTTAAAGCACTTTTTTTCATGATAAAAGTATAATTGTTATTTGATCTGTAGATCATTCTGGTGGCGGGGCCAGCTGTTAAAAATAATTTACTGTGCACACGATTTCTTATTGTGTTTTCACAAACATCTAATGATTTTCTATGGTAATCAACAGCAGCATTTTACACAAGCTTAATAGTTTTATTCAATCTGAAACATCATTTAAAGCAAAACAGACCCATATAGCAAAAATATATTTTTTCTGGCCAAAGTGCATTTAAAAAAATGTTTATATATATATATATATATATCATGCTATTATGCATATAATATAATATATAAATAATAAAATTTAAAATAAAATTAATAAGAATAAAAACAAAGTTAAGTTATAGAATATATAATTTTTAAAAAGTTATCCGAAAAAATTATTTGGACCAGTTTGATAATGTAATAATAATGACTGATTGCCCTTGCCCTATATGTTTTGTTATATAGAGTAGTTATATTTAAAATATTTTTAAAAAAAAGTATTGAATAAAAACTATGCAGCCCATTTTAACTGTCATGAATGTCCTCTCATAGAGAAACCTGTGGCTGTTTTACAGCTTTGCCACGCTCAATGAAAAACAATCACATCCTTTGAAATCTGGGATTAAGAGGGATTAAGCAGGCAAATATTAATTCCCACAGGGCTGGTCCGTGGGAGAGGCCTGTGACTTCAGAGGCCCGCTGATACACACACACACACACACACACACACACAGCCAAGTGAGTTTCCTTTAAATACCATGATCAGAGAAAAGTCTTTCCTACATGTGCTCTTTCATAAGGCTCCAGCTGCATTTCAACCAAGTAACCTTTCAATGATATTACTTTTTTTATTGAACAATGCAGTGCTGTATGGTGCTTTAGTGTTGTGTGTTCTTTTGGTGATGATGTAGTTGTGTAGTTGGAGCAGATGTAGGGCTGGAGTGCTGAATCATGAAATGCTGTTTAAAAGGATGAGCCATGCATTTGACTCAGTGAAGGCCATTGGGGACCAGTGTGAACTCAAGAAGAGACGGAGGTGTCTGTTCTGTAATGATAGAACAAATCTAAATGTTCAAACATCTATTATTAGACTCTTTCTGTGATGTTCGTTTAATTTTTTAAGAAAAAACAGACGTGTTATATCACAGCACAGTCTTGCACTGGCAAACATCACTCATACTTGCCCTATATGTCCTTGCAACTATACTCAGAATATAGCGACTGCATATAAATGCCCTGGTAACCCCTGACAACACCCTAGCATTGTGCCAGTGAGTTTTGCATTAGCAAACACCACTCAAATTTGACTTTAATGCCCCAACAACCAGCAGAACACCATAACAACTGCAATAGCAACGCACTAGACACCCCTTATAACACCTTAGCAACTGCATAGCAACATCCTGGCAATCACCCACGATACACTAGTATATACTGGTGAGTTTTGCACAGACAAACACCACTCACATTTGTCCTTTGTGTACTAGTATACAGTTAGAACACCATGGCAACTGCATAGCAACACACTAGAAACCACTCAAAAGACCTTGGCTACTGCATTTCATCACCCTGGCAAACCATCCATTACACACTAGCATTGGGCTAGACAGACAAAAAACACTCGGATTTCCCCTTTGTGCTCTAGTAAACAGCCAGAACACTATGGAAACTGCATAGCAAAGCACTAGACACCACTTATAACACCTTAGCAACTGCATAGCAACACTCTAGTAACCACCCACAACACACTAGCATTGTGATGGTGAGTTTTGCACAAACACCACTCAAATTTTTGTAATTTGTACTCTAGTAAACAGTCAGAACACTATAGCAACTGCATAGCAAAGCATTAGACACCACCAATAACACCTTAGCAACTGCATATCAACATCCTGGCAACCACCCACGATACACTAGTCACTAGTATGTATTGGTGAGTTTTGCACAGACAAACACCACTCACATTTGTCCTTTGTGTACTAGTATACAGTTAGAACACCATGGCAACTGCATAGCAACACACTAGAAACCACTCAAAAGACCCTGGCAACTGCATTTCATCACCCTGGCAAACCATCCATTACACACTAGCATTGGGCTGGACAGACAAAAACCACTCGCATTTCCCCTTTGTGCTCTAGTAAACAGCCAGAACACTATGGAAACTGCATAGCAAAGCACTAGACACCACTTACTATAACACCTTAGCAACTGCATAGCAACACTCTAG